CCCTCCCTCTCTCTCCCTCCCCCTCTCCCTTTCTTTCCCTCCCAAAACCCCATCCCCACCTTAAGCAGTCAACATCACTAAAACAGATCACATTTGAACAGTTGATAGATCTAACCTCAAAACAATCAAACTCTGTACTTGTTGGACGTCAGACACACTAGGATTAAGACGTGTGTACAGTCACTAATCATATTCAGAGAGCAACTCATAGCAGATAAAATGCTTCAAGCAGATAAATTAAATGTGAGACATCGTGGTGAAATCAGGCGCTCGTCAAAATAATGAAATCAAAGAAACTGGAATTTTTCTGGAGGTTGGGCTGTTTGTTTATTTTTATTTTTGGCCCGCAACACTTATGTTCTTTTAAAAACTCATTTTCCTCAAAAAACGTTGATTAAAGACACAAAAATCGCAAATTTTTGTCTTCCAAGGACTCTCAGGCTATGGGAATTACGAAACTTTGGCGGCCATTTTCTTGCTAATTTTACCTCCGAAACCAGACAACCCTCACTTCCTTTAATCGCAAATAACTCGACTTCTACTCAACATAGATTTTTTGGGGTCCATCATCGCAAGACAAACGAACAGTGTTGGAAATTATAAAAATAACCCCATATGCCAAAAAATTGACAAACGCCTGATTCCACCACGTCATGCCACAAATCAAACTGAAATTCCCTCATCACCTGTTCCAGTGCTCACTGACTCCTCGTTTCTCCACGAAGCCCTCCATTATGGAGGAGAGCGACTCGTTTTCTCCCTCTTCTGTCTCTGGTTCCCCTTCCTCATTCCTCACTAGGCTATGATGACTGGATTCTCCTCCTTCGCCACTTTCTTCTCCTTCCTCTTGTCCTTCTCCCTTCTCTCCCTCTACACCAGGGGGGTCAGAAATGTTTCTCTCTGGTTTCTGTGGAAGAGAAAGCGAGAAAGAAATTAATGAAACGGTAGTTTAAGTGTAATAAAAAAGAGCACAACTTGATGATACTCAATAATTAAAATAATTATAATACAGAGTAACAACAATAACCGAAACAACAATGATAACAACAACAACAACAACAACAACAACAACAACAACAACAAATACAATTACAATTACAACAACAGCAATAACAACAACATCAGCAACAACAACAATAACAATAACAATACGCTAAAACCGTAATAATATTGAATGATGATGATGATTCCTATTAGAATACTCATGCACCCTATAAAGTCAAGAGCTCCCCC